ATCCAGTTGTTAGGCCGAGCTGCTCGTAAACCCTAAACCCAATACGCCAGTGAAATGTGCAGAGCTTCAGGTTCGGCAAACGGCAAACCCGCCTGAGTGGCGTCGCCCCCGAGACAAGCGTTGGAGTAGGATACCTTGGAAGCTCGGATGTTCAGGATTTCAGAAACTGTCCAGGGCTAAGGTGAAGGGTCTAGGCTTTAGGGCTTAGGGCAATCATGAACAACGTTTTGAATAGAACTAGCACGCTTAGGAATAGTACGTTCTGATCCTCGTTGCTGACATATTTGCTACTCTCGCTTCTGTTAGAAGACATATTCTACTACTTTAAGCCTCCAATGTATCTGAGGGCGTACACCGAAACCGTTTCCCTAAACCTCACAGGACATGAGACGGAAGCAGCTGAAACGAAACACCGGCCGCTTCCCCAAGCCAGTAGCCTAGCCCATTCCCGAAGAATCGAGGGAGACCTCCCTGGATCCGAATAGGTGGTTGTCAACATTAGGGTCCCTTTTTGGGTACCCTACATATTACGTGCCGTACTATATTAGGGACCCAAACAGGGACCAAAAATTTGATAACTACCCGAATCTGTAGGCTGTGGAGCAGGTCAGCCTGCATTCTTGTTACGTGAAACATGAAGAAACCTAGTGGCCATAGTTTTGGCAGCAGGAATGGTCCATGGTGCAGCAGTAGTGGCAGTCCGAGCAGGAGCATGAGCAAGCAACATGAGCAGCATCAGAAGCAGTAGCAGCACTAGTAGTAGTAGTAGTAGTCGTCGTCGTCGTCGTCGTCGTCGTCGTAGTCGTAGTGGTAGTAGTAGTAGTAGTAGTAGTAGTAGTAGTAGTAGTAGTAGTAGTAGTAGTAGTAGTAGTAGTAGTAGTAGTAGTAGTAGTAGTAGTAGTAGTAATAGTAGTAGTAGTAGTAGTAGTAGTAGTAGTAGTAGCAGCAGCAGCAGCAGTGGCAGCAGCAGCAGCAGTAGTAGTGGTAGCACTAGTAGTACTTGTAGTAGCCGTCGGTCGTAGCCGTACTTTGCCGTATCTTGCCACATCCATGCGGTTCTGAAACGCCGAGGATCCTTGATTCTGCACCTGTCGGTTCAGGCGCTCCAGTTGGAGTCGAAGTGGGGTGGCCGCTTCTTCGTTGCTTCTTTCCCCGGAGGAAGAGAGGACCTCGGCTGCGATCCACGAGGTGAGAGTTTCAGAAAATGGGGTACCTGATTTTGGAGTCCTTATAACAACGACCCTACTACTTAGGGTACTACATTAGGGTCCGCTATTTTCGGAAACTCCCTGGTTCGTTGGGCAGATTTACAGAGGGTTCACCTAGCCTCGCACGAAACAGGTGATCCATGACCAACCCCCGATCAGCAACCGCATTGCCTGTTTCCTGTTCTGGGTAAAGGGTCTGCTCAATAGGTATACCTTTCAGCACCCATTTGCCGCAGAACAGGAAGGCCAAGTGAAAACAGTGCATAGCTGATTCGTTGAACCCTGCTACGCGCGCGCGCGTGTCACTGGGATCCCGAATATGGAAACTGACCTTACAAGCCGAAATCTGTCTCATGGCTATGACTCGTGATTCTTCTGCAGCCAAGAGAACGCCTCGGCTGGCGTCGGCGACCTGAGCCCAAGAAAGACTTTGTTCACTGGGGAGTGCATGGCTCATTGACTGCCAGAAAGCTGGATCATTATATCATCATATGGCTCGGCTAACTATATAATCCCATTCTGTTGCAGTTCACTGCAGACTCTGAATGACTCTAAGTCACTAAGAGCCCTAAAGTCCCAAACCCCGGGCCCCCAAAGGGCCTCGCTCTCTCAAACTCCCGTAGCCCGGGAGCTGTGTTGCCCTCCTTCGACAGAGCTCCCAGGCCGACCAGCTCGGCAAAGGGAGGGATGCGCAATCGCAAGCCTTCGCCACGGCTCCGGGGCTCCGGGGCTCCGGGGCTCTGGGGGGGGCTCAGGGCCCAGGTGAGGGCTCCGTGGATGTTTTGAATGGTTCCGGGATGTCTTTTCAGAGTGCCATTATAAGGGTCCTACAAAGGTTCCGTGAAAGCTCTAAACCGAAGGGTTTTGCCAGCATCCCACATGGGCTTCGTGTGTTTTCGAGCGCAGTCTTGGGGTTGCGGGGTTCAGAGTCAGGGACGCGTGTGCCAACAACTGCTAAGCATTGAAAGGCCCCCTGAGGAGGATCCTCCATAAACCCTAAACCCTAAACCCGATGATCCGGGAAACCCGAAACAGACCACCCTAGAACCCCCCCGAGCCTAAGATCCGTAAAGCACTGAACGCGGCCCGAAAGGAAATCCCACAACCCTAGAAATCCGAAGCCCGAGCTCGAAACTCCAGCCCTGAAACGCATGAATTGCGGGCTTTACCTGGTTTACCCTAAACTATCAGGAACTCCAGTTTTATAGGTTCTTACTATAAATGCTCCAAAATTTGGATTTCATAGACGCACAAAACAAACAAAAGTAGGTTTCGGTCAAAGCCGAAGGAGCGGCAGGCATCGCGAATCAAGCGACACCTGAGCTAGGTTCTTGTTCACCCAAAGGCTCCATGTACCTTTATAGAAGATACTTTAGCCTTAGACGGGTCCTTATACCTAGAAGGCCTAAGTGTCTACTAGATGGGTATAAGGAGCCTTTGGGTTAGGGATATAATCTAAGTTACCACTAGAAGGGATCTATACGGGTGCTTTTAAGGGATCTATAAGGGTACCTTCAAGAGTATATAGGTTTTATTAGGTTTTAGGGCTTGGGGTTTACCATATTAGGGGTGTATAGTCAACAATATGTTTCTTTACTATGGTAACTTGAAATCGAATTCCTTAACAAGAACCCAGTGAGTGGGTCCAGGGTCGAAGGTATGGCTTAGGGCTTATGGGGTTTGGGTTTATAGGGTTTGAGGTTTGGGGCTTATTGGGTTTCGGCGCTCACACTCGGACAATCCAGGAGAAGCATATGGTGCGAGGTCTGCTGAGTGAGACGAACTAACAGGAGAGCTTGTAACAAGGGTGGACCACATACCAAGGGTTAAAAGGTCCTATGTGCTGTTATGGGGCATACTTCCCCAAATCATAATAGTAATTCCTAGTATAGAAACCCTACATTCTACTATATCGGTGCTTTGGACCCTTTGGGCAAGGGTTAGAGGGCTTTGACCATAGGTTCACTTGGTTCGGGTTTAGAGCTTTGGGCTGTTGCAGGGGTCTACAGGGGTCATCGGCTCGCGAGGTTTAGGGTTTACGGCCTTTGGACTGAAAGTTCATAGGGTTTGGGGCCTAGGCGCAGCGATCTGGTGCTTCAGGATGACTTTACACCCAAAGAAACTGGACTTAATGGAGACCCATACTGACTCTCATCGAAGCTTGAACAGCAGCTGCACACCTTCGGTGAAACCTGGGCTCGAGGTCCAAATTAGCATGAAATCCGGCTCAGCCCTGCAGATTGGAAACCCGGAAGGCGCAACCCCAGAGCCTAAAGCCCCAAACTGTCTTCCTGAAACCCATGAAGGAACCCTTGTAAGAACCCTGAACCCTTTTTGTGCCCCTACTACGCTTCGCTTCTTCAGCCCTTGAAGCCTTGAGGGAGCCCTGGACCCCCTCTTCACTGCCGGACAGAACATCGGAATCACAGGCGAGTAAACAACACAACTCGCTCTGCCGCGACACCGCCGCAGCACCTTGGCGATACCTCGAAGCTCGACTGGCGGGCTTGGGGTTGAGGGGTTCAGGGTTTATGGGTAACTATAATCTCCCCTCATATGGGCAAAAAAGGTATACTATTTGCGCCCTTAAGGTATAGTATCCTGAAGACCCCGAAACCCTATCCCATCTTACCAACGCCCCTTCTGCAAGGGTTGGAACTTGTGGGTTTGGGGTTCGATCAGAGGTTCCTGCTACTCACGACTTGTTCCCGAAATATTGGGGGGCCTTAATCATTAGAAAAGGGTTTGGGGGCCATTATACTATAATTATAATAAGGATCCACCAGAATAGTGTAGGTAATTATTTAAGCCCGTATAGTAACTGCGATGTGCCTGTGGTGGCTCAAGTCACTTGCCTAATGACCAGACCGCAGACTGCTGGAAGTTGGTGGGTAGTGTTGGAGGCCTCAAAAGGTGGGAGGAAGGCAAGTAGGATTAAGGATCCCCTGTATGAGGACTCTTATTTGGGAATTACCCCACCTACCTTCATCCTACCTTTTGAGGCCCCTGATACTGTCCGCCAAACAACAAGGTTCACGGAAACTCCGAAGGAGCCCCAAAACCCTAAGCCCTATCCACTCCTACGGTTGATGATATAAATCCTGCATTACCTTAAGGACCCTAAAGTATGGGGAATTGTGGTATATTCCTTATGATGGGTAATGCAGGATTTATATCATCAACCGTACGAAATCTCGAACATAAACCGCACTCCAGACTACAGAACCGACAAGCCCACACTTCAGATGGGAGTTTCCGAAAATTAGTCCCATACTTTCGGAAACTCCCATACTGCAAGACTCTGGTTGCTTCGCACTCGTTCGAGCAGATGTCGAGATGCAACATATCGGGGCCTTGCCTTAATAATTAGAATAGGGTTTTGGGGGCCCAGTATAAATGACAAGGAGCCCCCAAAATAGTATTGGCAACTACCTCGGCCCCCATACTAATTGAAGCTTATGACCTATGACTCAGGCACTTATGTCCCCTGTGCTATTCCGAAGCCCTGCCGCGCTCTGCCTCAACTAAATCCGACAGATTGTCGCATGAAAAGTTGGCAGCTGCCACTCTTCACCAAGGGCCCACTAAGGTGGTGATACGATGCCTGAGCCAAGCCTGCCACCGATATTCGCGAACCGCGGATCGTCGCTTCCCCTTGCAGGGACTTTGCCACGCAAGTGCGCGCAGCAACCCCCGACTGGCCTGTGGGCTCAGTCGGATCCATTTCTGGTGAGCTTCACAGCGACTGGCCCGACTGGTGTCCTCGTCTCCGATGCTCTCGCCGGCTTCGCTTCACTCGCCCTCGCCCTTCGCTGTTCTACTCGGCCTCTCTGTGGCCAGCAGCTTAGCCATGTCGTCATCCTGCGCATAGTCGAGGGGTAAGTTGCCTCTGTCGTCTTCTATGTCTTTGCTGGCCCCAGCCTTGACCAGCAAACTTGCGATTGGCAAAAAGTTCTGAATAGCTGCACAGTGTAGGGCGGTGTAGCCACCACAATTGTCCACACGGTCGAGCTCCACGAGGCCCACTCTGTCAACCACAGCTTGCACGACCAATCGCACGACCTCTGAATTGCCCCAGGAACAGGCCGTGTTCAACGGTGTTGCGCCGTCCTGGTTCGCCTTGTCGACTGCAGCCCTTGCATGCAAGAGCCAGCGCACAACCTCGACAGAGTCCCAAAATATCGCATGGGATAGCGCAGAGGTCTCCATGATCTCTTGATCAGGGTCAGCGCCAGCCCGCAGCAGCAGGCGCAGAATTTCCACGTGCTTGCTTCGGGCTGCTAGGAAGAGGGCGGTGAGGCCATTGTTGTTGCTATGGTTTGCATCTGCCCTGGAAGTCAACAACATCTCTACGATCTCCAGGTGACCTTCATCGCATGCAACAGTAAGAGCTGTCATGCCCTCATCAGTTGCAGTATTGGCGTCAACCCTCGCCTCCAAGAGCAATCGGACAATCTCTAGGCTGGCGTCAGCGCACTGGCATTCAGTGCAAAGCAACTCGTTTCCCTGAGGACCGGGACCGGTACCAGCGCCAGCCTGCACCAGCAGCGACGCAATGTTCAGCTGCCCTTCTTGCAAGGCATTGACCAGCGGAGTGCAGCTATGGCCGTCGGCCTTGTTTATATCTGCTCTGGCATCCAGGAACCAGCGGACCATGTCCTCCTCTCCGTCCCGAGACGCAGCAACCAGGGCGGTGGTGCCGTCATGGTCGGCCACGTCCATGTCAGCCCGAGCTTCTAAGAGCAACTGTGCGATTTCTGGATAGCCATCACAAGATGCCAGCATCAGCGCTGTTCGGCCATCGGCAGTCGCTGCATTCGGGTCCATGGACCGCTGCAATAATTTCTCCACTTCGTCGACAGAGCCTTGGCAAGGGGATAAGACGAACTCCTGGATCTCCTCTTCCGAAGCATCGCAGAAGGCCAAGAAGACAAGAAGCACACTCTCCATCGAAGCATCGAGGTGCACATCCTCCTCTAACACCTTGCCTTCGTGCAGGATCTTCTGCCGGAAACGTGGAACACCGGAGATCTTGTGCAAGTCATGCTTCAAGTTCCGCACAGTGCTTACGTCTGGTGCAGGAATGGCGGCCAGCTCTTCCCCGGATGGAATCAGAACATGAAGCATGCCTGGCAAGTGATGGTGCCCAAGTGAGGCTCGAGGAGCTATATACTCTTGAGCCGTAGCCAAGGCTGTCGGGTTCAGGGTCTCAAAGCGCTTTACAGGGGGTGGGTGTGTAGAGTGTAGAGTTTGCGCATGTAGAGTTTACGCAGAGGTTCTAGACGGGCAGCCCCATCAAAGCTATGAAACGCCGATTAACAGGCAGCTCCAGTATGGGAACCTCAGCGAAGGTATAACATTGGAGACGTTTGGGCACCTGACCACTAAACACTAAACGTGCGCAATACTAAATAACATCGCCCAAGCTCCAAAACCGAGCCGAAAATACGGTGAACAGTCTCACGACCGCTCGTGGCTTGAATTGAAGGCTTGGGCACCAAAACCTAAGCCCTAAAAGCCGTAAACTCTCAGACCCTAAACCCTTATGGAGCCGTCTCTGGAACCCTCGTGCAACAAGCCCTCATTCCACCCTTAATGGCAACCGCACAGGACCCCAAGGCATGACATCCTGAACCCTAAACACCCTAAACCCTAACCTCTAAACCCTAAATCCCCAAACTCGAAACCCCAAACTCTAAGCCTCAAAGCAAGACATACCAAGGCAGGTCGCCCACAAAGAGCCGCACAACTCGACTGTCCATCTCCAACGCCTCTTCAAAGGCTGGGTTTTTGCGTGTATAAGGCTCGCACAGAAGTCGTCTTTTAGGGTTTAGGGTTTAGGGTTACGGCTGTATGAGGTTCCTACTACGTCTACTAGCTTCTTCGTTGGGTGCTTCTAGGGTTTTGGGTCCATGTGGGTCCATACTCCCCGGTTTCCTGTGGAGCATCGAGGATGGGAGCCCCCAGGCGAGAAGCGGCACTTTGGTTGAGGGCCTAGTGCTGAGGTCTTCAGCGCTTTGGTTCAGGGCCTCAGGGGTTTGGCAGGTTTACGGTTTCCCTAAGTGACACAGCCGAAGGAATCCTGGCCCAACTACACGCATGAAGCTGTATCTCAGGCCGGGACAAAACTCACCCCCCCCCCCCCCCCCAAAGCTTCTCCGCACTGAATGCCCACAACTCTTACAGACTCGAGTAATGCACACACACACACACACACACGCGCATTGAGCTCAGCTTTATGACTGGTGTAAACAGTGACCCACAGTTACAGCAACCTCCTCGGTCCTCGCATGGGAGTTTCCGAAAACAGGGGACCCTGATATAGCACCCTAAATAGCAGGATGCTTCTTATCAGGACCCCATACCCTAGACCCTAAACCCCTAAACCCTCCCTCGCATGACCGTCTTTGTGTCGTGGATGGCATCCAGCACGTCCTCGCGCAAGTCGTGGAGGTCCAAACTGCTGTGGCCTAAGCGCAACTACAGGGTAGTTATGAGGGTTCTTTTAAGGGTGCCTTTAGAGGGATCTATAGAGATTCTAGAAAGATATAGGGTTTAGGCTCTACTTGGAGGTTCATGGGTAGCTATAAGTTGGGTTTTAAGTCCCATAATTTGGGTTATAAGTATAGTTACACCACTCATAACCCCACTTATAGCTACCCATGAAATTCCTTTAGGCCTCTTAAGACTGGAACCCTCTTAGTACCCCTGCTTGTTTTGTAAAGCAACCCATGATGGCCCGACCATTCAATCACAACTCAAGAGCTTAGGGCTCAGCTCTAGTGGGTTCCTAATGGATTTCAATTTGGCTGTTTAGGTTCTGAGGGCTTTGCTTAAGACCCGTAGCCCATCCTCCGCTGCGCTGGTCCAGCGCTTGCTTCCTGGAAGCTTGCACCATAAAAGGGCCTCTGTCCGAATCAACCCTTAGGCCAACAGTAAGCAAAACTCAGCATTTTTGTGTGCGGCATCGGGACGTGGGCTTCCTGATTCGTTCTACCCCTGCTGGAACAGTCAGGCTGGGTTCGGGATCCAGCAAAGTCATCAAGGAGCGACAACGTGGTTTCAGCGAGACCAGCCGCCTTGACGACGAAAACATTCGACCCAGTTGATGTTGAAGAAGGAGCCAACCTAGAGCATCATTGCTTAGAACGCGGCTACACAAAAATCCCGTGCAGCGACCCTTCGCAGACTGCTGGGTAGTTGCATGCCCTCCAAACTCTGGTTGAACTTCCCGCCAAACTTCAAACTCTGCAGGCTGCTGGGAAGTTGGATGCCCTCCAGGCTCTGGTTGAACTCAAAGCCAAACTCCAAACTCTGCAGGCTGCTGGGTAGTTGGATGCCCTCCAAGCTTTGGTTGAACTGTAAGCCAAACGTCAAACTCTGCAGGCTGCTGGGTAGTTGGATGCCATCCAAGCTCTGGTTAAACTTCCCGCACAACTTCAAACTCTGCAGGCTGCAGGGAAGTTGGATGCCCTCCAGGCTCTGGTTGAACTCAAAGCCAAACTCCAAACTCTGCAGGCTGCTGGGTAGTTGGATGCCCTCCAAACTCTGGTTGAACTCCCAGCCAAACTCCAATCTCTGCAGGCTGCCGGGAAGTTGGATGCCCTCCAAGCTTTGGTTGAACTCCAAGCCAAACGTCAAACTCTGCAGGCTGCTGGGTAGTTGGATGCCCTCCAAGCTCTGGTTGAACTCCTCGCCAAGCTCCAAACTCTGCAGGCTGCTGGGAAGGCGGATGCCCTCCAAGCTCTGGTTGAACTCCGAGCCAAACGTCAATATCTGCAGGCTGCTGGGAAGTTGGATGCCTTCCAAGCTCTGGTTGAACTTGCCGCCGAACGTCAAACTCTGCAGGCTGCTGGGAAGGCGGATGCCCTCCAAGCTCTGGTCGAACTCCGAGCCAATAGTCAAACTCTGAAGGCTGCTGGGAAGTTGGATGCCCTCCAAGCTCTGGTTGAACTCCGAGCCAAACGTCAATATCTGCAGGCTGCTGGGAAGTTGGATGCTTTCCAAGCTCTGGTTGAACTTCTCACCAAACTCCAAACTCCGCAGGCTGCTGGGAAGGCGGATGCCCTCCAAGCTCTGGTTGAACTTGCCGCCAAATGTCAAACTCTGCAGGCTGCTGGGAAGGCGGATGCCCTCCAAACTCTGGTTGAACTCCCAGCCAAACTCCAAACTCTGCAGGCTGCCGGGAAGTTGGATAGCCTGCAAGCTCTGGTTGAACTTGATGCCAAACTCCAAACTCTGCAGGCTGCTGGGAAGCTGGATGCCATCCCAGCTCTGGTTGAAGTTCCCGCCAAACTTCAAACTCTGCAGGCCGCTGGGAAGTTGGATGCCCTCCAAGCTTTGGTTGAACTCTAAGCCAAACGTCAAACTCTGCAGGCTGCTGGGTAGTTGGATGCCATCCAAACTCTGGTTGAACTTCCCGCCAAACTTCAAACTCTGCAGGCTGCTGGGAAGTTGGATGCCCTCCAAACTCTGGTTGAACTCCCAGCCAAACGTCAAACTCTGCAGGCTGCAAGGTAGGTGCATGCCCTCCAAGCTCTGGTTGAACCTCATGCCAAACTCCAAACTCTGCAGGCTGCTAGGAAGTTGGATGCCCTCCAGGCTCTGGTTGAACTCCCAGTCAAACTTCAATCTCTGCAGGCTGCTTGGTAGTTGGATGCCCTGGATGAGCTCTTGGTTGCAATACAATGTCAGGGACATCGTCTCGTCCAGGGCAGCTACATCTACATCAGACAGAGTCTTCCCCTCGAGTAGCCGCTCCCAAAGTATCGCGACACCACCCGCTCCAAGCTTCCGCGCCAGGTACGAGATCTCGTCGTGCTGGACTTGGCGAAGCAGCAGCTGGCACTGATCGATGAGACAATCATCGGATGTCAGCACGAGTAGACCTTTGTGGCCAACTTTGGCTGCGATGCGTTTCGCTACTTCCTGCCCCTTTTCGGCAGAGTTGACGTCCAGCTCAAAGCTGGAACCTGTGAGGCTATTACGAACCTGAGTTGTCCTTTACGCCCATTGAAAATACTTTAATTAATATTATGGTTCTCTACAAACTCGTAGGGGAAATGAAAAACGATCCCAAAGGACAAACCAGGAACATTGACGGTCCTGCCAGGACCAACCTCTGCAGGCTGCTGGACGATGAAGTTCTGGTTCATGCAGTTTATGGGACCTTCGGACGCATGCAAGCGGCCATGGCGTCGGCGGCGCTTCCCTGAGAATAGACTTAGACGGTGCACCGTCGCAAAGTCGGAAAGTGCAATTCTATACCCCAACACCTCCCGGGCCCCGGACCCCGCATAAACCAACAAACGCATCTTTTAGACAAACCAGAACCGAAACCCCGAAGGCCCGAAACCCTGAACCCCAACACCAAAACCTGAAGGCCAAAGAGATTCTCTAGTACTCTAGTAGAACCCTGAGTTGGCAAGCTTGAAAGAAAAGCCTTACAGAAACCCTTCAGCGAGTTATGGTGAAGTTTTAAGGCCTATGGTAAGAAGGAAACCCTAGGCCTGAAAAGGAAGCACTTATAATATATAATATATAATATATAATATATAATATATAATATATAATATATAATATAATATATAATATAATATATAATATAATATATAATATATAATATATAATATATAATATATAATATAATATATAATATAATATATAATATATAATATATAATATATAATATATAATATAATATATAATATAATATATAATATAATATATAATATAATATATAATATATAATATATAATATATAATATATACAAGAGAGCGCGGCTTTTGAAAGAGTTCCGAGGGGCGGAGCAGTCGCCGAACGACCCAAGATCTCTCCGCAGCCGATTGCAAGGCCGGTTCCTCCGGGCTTCCGAGGTTTGTCTGAAGGGTTTACACGTTTGTGTGAGGTTTTAGGTCAGGGGGCTAGAAGGGCTTAATTATAGGCTGTAAGTTTAAAATAACCTACCATGTCCAGGATTCAGGTTTTACCGGAGCTGAGAGAAACTGCAATTTCGAATGTTGCAATTTGCAAAAACCTTAATACGCAACCCCCACAAGGGTAGTAATTACCTACGCAGGGGCCTTAAAGATCAGAATGAGGTTTTGGGGGCCCATTATACTGTAGGCAGCCTCCAAAAGGGTCGTACCTAGGCCGCCTCACCGACAAATGACAAATTCGCCGCACCTGCTTCGACGCCACGCCAAGCTCGCTATCACAGAGGCGCCTCAAGGAAAAGTTTCTTCCGGCGTGAGGGTTTTTTCCCTCCTACTTAGCAAGGACGAAGCCCGCATTTCAGGGATAAGGGTTTCGTGTTTAGGGATAAGGGTGTGGGGTAAGGGTTTAGGGTTTAGCGATAAGAGTTTAAGGTCTAGGGAAAAAGGGTTTGAGGGTAAGGGTTGCGGGTTTTGCGATAAGGGTTTAGGGATAAGGGTTTAGGGTTTAGCATTTAGGGATAAGGGGGGGCGGTAAGGGTTTAGGGTTTTGTGATAAGGGTTCAGGGATCAGGGTTTAGGGTTAAGCGATAAGGGATAAGTTCTACGAGAGCTTGGTACTTATTTTTGGAGCATGTTGCAAGGGTGTGGGAAAGGCTTTTAGGATTTCCAACGATGATGGGCTTTCACACCCCGTACCCTACTTCCTGGACTTTGTGTAAAAAGACTACAACCATAAACGTTATGCCCAAACCAACAGCAGAATCGTTGGGGCCTGCACAGTCGGAAGCGGACTGTTCGCATATATATATATATATATATATATATATAATATATATATAATAATATTTTGGAAGCATAGTCTATGTCATCTTTACACTCATGTATCAGACCCCATGTTAGCTGAGCCACTCGTAGAAGGCCACCAACTCCTCCAGCTCGAACGACCGAATCGTCTCAGACAGCAGAAAGAGCGCCCACACCGGCATCACCACCTGACTAGCCGAAGGAGATACTCGGATAATGCAGAATCAGAAAAGGGCGACCACGAGGAGATTCTCTTTTTACAAACCTCGATTGTTCAATAGGCAGATGCATTTTTTCGAGATGTCCAACTCTACGCAGGCCTTAGTCCTCAAGCTTTCAATTTTGGCGAACTCACGCGCGCTACAGGCGGTCCAGCGACGGGCAAGCATGCAGCACGTGCGCACAAACATCCGCAATGTCATGGCATTGCGAAGCCTGGGTCCTTGCTGTCGGGAAGCACTCCGCAATCGACAACAAAGACATCACTCATACACACTGTGCTCTTCTTCAGCAGTTATACTTGGAATCAGATTCTGACCGCCGCTCTTGACATTCTCTGCCCTTCCAAGCCCGAATTCCTTGACCCGTGCAGAGTGTCCCCTGCACCTTCAAGGTACAAGCCTCCATCTTTCAGAGAACCTAAACCCCAAACCCTAAACTGAACATCCTAAACCCTACATCCTATTATAGTATATTAGAATATAATATTGACCTCCGAACACCGAAATCTGGGGAAAGGTGCTATTTACAACACTGCGTCCTATTGCACGTTTAGTCTAGTCTTTTTTTTCAACCCGCACTGAGGCCGATGCGTGACACACACACACACACACAAAAACAAAAAAAATAAATGCGTTCTCCGGACAGCTCGCAGCAACAAAGATGCATCGAGACACTTAGTCTAGGCCTTTTTGCCGCAGGCTTCTCTCGCCCGGAACTGCTGTCGCCGCGAGGCGGTGCAGCACTCGAGACTGCGTAACCCCGCACAACTCGCTAGGCCTAGACCCCTACCCTAAGGCCCCGAAGTAGTTCCTTTTTGGGGTTCATATTTTTTAATTCGATAAGGTGATCCCAGAAAGGAACGACTTTGGGGCCTATATGGGTAAACCCTACACTGAGTCTAGCGGCTGCAGTGGTCCAGGCGATGATGACGGCAGCCCCACGGAGCTGAGCTAAAAGCTGCCAACCTGATGTCAGCTGCTTGGGTTCAAGGTTTACCTGGACCCGCAGAAACCTATCTTTTTAGGGTTCCCTAATATGCTTTCTTTATACAAGTCCTTAAAAAAGTGGGTTACTTGGGGTTAAGGTAGGGCTTAGGGTTGGGTTTTGGGCTTAGGATTGGGTTTAGGGTCTTAGGGTTGGGCTGAGGGTTTAGGGTATGTAATGGCTGTATTGAAGGAAACCTCTTTCTCTCTCTCTCTCTCTCTGTCGCTCTCTCTCTCTCTCTCTGTGTCTGTCTCTCTCTCTTTCTCTGTCTCTCTCTCTCGCTCTCTCTCTCTCTCTCTGTCTCTCCCTCTCTCTCTCTCTCTCTCTCTGTGTCGTCACTAGGTCGGCGGCACCATGCACTCCCAGTGATCGGCCTTCCAAATGAACAAGGCGATATAATTCACGAAAGTTAGTAGAGGAAAACATCATTTGCCATTGTCAAGGCTTGAACTTTTCAACGTTCGGGGCAACGAGTTTTGTGGCTAGGGCTTTGTAGGTTGGGATGTGCGCGTTGAGCTCGGTATCGCTTGTTTTTCATCCTGAGGCTTCAGCGTTTAGAGAATCAAGGCGTGAAGGCTTGCCGTGTAAAGGACATTAATTTCGGGCTTTTTGGGTGTGGGGTTCCCGCGTTTGGGCTTGGGGCTTGGGTCTCTGGGGTTTGGGACTTAGGGGATGGTTTGGGCTTAGGGGGATTTGGGTTTAGGGCTTACGTGAGCCCACTGAAACTACACGCCCATGGGAAAGGGCTCTGCAGCTTTTGTATTGGAAAGATGCCTTGGCATGTAAACTGTGTTAGTCAGACTCCGATATGTTTCTATGGTCTGCTTGGGTAGAGCATTACCATTCCTCCCTGTCTAATCACTACCATGGCGTTTTTGTTGCTGCTGGTAGCCTGATCAAAACACCCAAGGTCTTTACTAGGGCTGTTTATATGCGTGCTACATTAGCAACAGATGAAGCCTTCCCCGAGTTGCCACGCCCGCTGCCTACAGAGACCCGAGCAACACCTCACTTGCCGGGCCGCCCCAGTGATGACCCGAACTGCACAGCGTGTGCGCTGCATGTGTGATGCAGTCTGGGTGACCTTAGTCTTCGGTAGTTTATGAGAGTTGAGACTAGGATTTAGGCCAGGATTTTGGGCGTAGGTAGTTCGATACTGAGGTCGACAGGGTAGACATGAAGCGGACACAGGAACGACATCATTAGTGAGTTGCTGCTGTTAGTTATTTCAAGTATTGCATGAAAACGCTGCTCCCGAGCTTTTAAGAATTGAGAGTTAACTCATCCGGAAAGTCAAGCATACAAGCCTTGATGGTCAAGGCTGACAAAGCAAAGCAAGATGCGTGCAAGATCAGTCAACCACACGGCAGCGAAGTCTTCCTGCTTCCAAGTATACACAAGCCTGATAGAACAGTCGGCACTACCAAACCCTGCCAACTAGTATGAACAAGCACAAGCAGCTGAAGGCGGCGATGGTGACGCTGAAGAGACCGCCTCCTCCATGCACAGCAATGGCGTCCTTCTCAGGCAAAGGCTAGCAAAAGCCGACATGCCATTGCAAATCCAAAACCTGCTTGCCTTCTACACGTTGGCGTGAGTATGCAAATAATGATCTACCTGTTTATTATCACCATGGACATGGACATCGCTCTGACTGTCACAAGCATCGCTATCAGCATTATCATGACCATCACCAGTCCGCACTTATCACTTTCATTTTCTACTCCTCGTCATCATCATCTTCTTGCTTGCTGTCGCCGCCATATCACGACGGTCACGATGAAAAACGCAGCTCAGGGTCGATGAGTTCAGAATACTGTGGGGATTAGGTGGTCTGGCAGCTAGGCTCTGGAAGCATCTCGCAGACAACATGCACGCACTGATTGAAACGTGCATAATAAAAATGACGGTACTAACATTAATAACAAGAGTTGTTATTAGTACGACAAATCATTCCTGCCAAGCTGCAGCTGGATCGTCGACCCGTAGTCTTCGCAACACATAGCTGCCTCTCAGTCGATCCCACGAAGACCAACCCGACAGATGGAAGGACGTACAAAAAGGCATGCACAAACAAACAAGGAAGAAAAGGCAAAACTGCGAACATGGCCAGTTTGCGCTTGAAAGTTTTGCTCTTCTGCAGCAATTCTAGACGTTCATGATATGAACTCCATGACGAGTCCGACTACCCTGCCCACTAGGGCTTAGAAGTTTACGGTTTCAGGGTTTTGTGTTTCAGGGCGCCCGAATATCTAATTCCAAGGTTCGATCGCACCAACCCCTCCCCCCTCCATTCCCCTCCCCAAAATGGCAGCACATGCCACGTTTCAACGTACCATGAGCTCCACCTGCAGGGTACACGACGAATCCGGCGAGGAAGCCGGTTGCGGTAGCCAGAATGGTGAAGAGCGCGTCACCTCGGATCGGCTTCTGGTATATGGCTGCTGAAACTATGATATGCACTGCTTCATGTTGTTTCTTCCGGCCCCCGGAGCTGACCTGGTATGACCTTACTTACCCATGCGCATTATCACACACTGCTAAGTAAGCTGCCTTCGACAATTGCATCTTTCATGATGTCGATGTCGAACCCCAGCTGTGTACCATCTCACATCATCGCAGTGCCCAGGGTGCTGCTAGCGCTAAGGAACTATATAGCCATAACCAGCACTTGCAGCTGGATGTTGCAGCTTCGAGCACTTCTTTGTCTGATGACGAGGTACAGCCACATAGGACATGTGTAGGCTTAATTGTTCATCACTAGAACCAGACGCGCAGAGTTGCGACATGCAGTTAACTGGTGATTTGTGGACAGGCATTACTGCTTCATGTGTTCGGGCGGAACGTTTTTTTTTCCCAGGTCTGGTCCGCCCCGGCTTGCTTTCATAAGTCTGGTCCACTGGTTGTGGTTGCAAACAGCGGCAGCTGCAGTCTTTGCTTCTGTTTTGCATCAAGCTATTGGGGAACTAGAATTTGACGGCTCTGGTTTTGCTTCTGTTTTGCATGAAGCTACTGTATTGGGGAACTACAACTTGCGGAGTCTGATTTTGCTTGTGTTTAGCATCAAGCTGTTGGGGAACCACAAGTTGCAGGGTTCGGTTTTCTTTGTGTTTTGCATGAAGCTATTGGGGAGTTCGCATTTGCAGGGATCGGTGTTGCTTGTGTTTTGCATCAAGCTATTGGGGAACTACAATTCGCAGAGTCTTCTTCTGCATGTGTTCTGCTTCAAGCTATTAGGGAACTACAATTTGCGGTGTGTTCTTCTGCTTGTGTCTTGCATGAAGCTATTAGGGAACTACAATTTGCGGTGTGTTCTTCTGCTTGTGTTTTGCATCAAGCTAATGGGGAACTACAATTTGCGGGGTCGGCTTTGTTTGTGTTTTGCATCAAGCTATTGGGGAACTACAATTTGCAGAGTCTTTTATTGTTTGTGTTTTCCATCAAGCTAATGGGGAACTAGCATTCGCAGGGTCTGGTTTTGCTTGTGTCTTGCATGAAGCTATTGGAGCACTACAATTTGCAGGGTCGTGTTTCGCGTGTGAATATTGCGGGATTACAATTTCAAATCTTTTGTCTTGTGTCGTTGTTTTTTGGTGTCGTTGTCGACATCCTCGTCATCCTCGTCGTCGTCGTCCTCGTCGTTGCCGTCGTGGTAGTTGTTCTTGTTGTTGTTGCTGTTGCTGGTGCTCTTGTTGTTGCTGTTGTTGTTGTGGTTGTCGTGGTGGTTGTGGTTGTGGCTGTCGCTGTTGTTGTTGTTGTTGTTGTCAGACAGACGTGTTGTTGTTGTTGTTGCTGTTGTTGTTGTTGCTGCTGCTGTTGTTGTTGTTGTTGTTCTTGTTGTTGTTGTTGTTGTTGTTCTTGTTGTTGTTGTTGTTGTCGTTGTTGTCGTTGTTGTTCTTGCTGTTGTTGATGTTTTTGCTGTTGTTGTTGTTGCTGCTGTTGTTGTTGTTGTTGTTGGTGCTGTTGTTGTTGGTGGTGTTGTTGTTTTGTTGTGTGTTGCTTGTTGCTTGTTGCTAGTTGTGTTAGTTGCTAGTTGTGTTAGTTGTTTAGTTGTTAGTTGCTAGTTGATAGGTGTTAGTTGTTCGTTGCTAGTTGTTAGTTGTTGGTGTTAGCTGTTAGTTGTCAGTTGTTGGTTGTTATTTGTGAGTTGTGAGTTGTTAGTTGTTTCTTGTTAATTGTTAGTTGTTTCCTGCTTAGTGTTCCTTGTTTCTTGTTTGTTGTTTCTTGTTTGTTCTTTCTTGTTTCTTGTTAGTTGTTTGTTGTTAGTCGTTTGCTGTTAGTTGTGTTAGTTATTTAGTTGTTAGTTGTTTGTTGTTTGTTACAGACAGACAGACAGACGGACACAGAGACATGGATACTGCGGCCTGAAGGGTGCACGTCGCCCCGAAGGGCTGTCAGAAGCAGGAGAACCGCAGCGCAGTTGCGACTGGCTCTTTTTGTGTCTTGCAAGCCGAGTGCCTGCATCACATTGCGTCCCCCTACTGTGTGACAGGACCAGGAGAGACCAGGGGACCAGGGACCAGGGGACCAGAGGACCAAAGGACCAGGGGACCAGGGACCATGGGACCAGACCTAGCAAGGCCCCCCAGACCGGACCAGACCTAGGAAAAAAAACCGGGGACCCCATGTGTTCAGATTCGGCAAAACTATGTTGGTACGGAGTCTCGGATGTAGACTTATGTTGTCGTTCCCCTCAACCCACCCCCCAAACTCAGTCTGCTTGTTCATGAATTTCAGACTGTGCTCAAGGGAAAGACAAAGCTTAAACATATCAGCAGCCAGCTCAAAGGAAAGATCACGATTCGCACGAGTTCATTCGCTGCTTGAGGTTCCCATCGGTTACTGCAGGAACGAAGTCAGAAATACGACTACGAAGTTCACTATGCAATTCGTATTTTGCAGGTTCCTGTGCTTCTTCCAACTACCTTAGAAGAGGATTGCCCTAAATCCCAAGCCCCATTTTGTGTACCTAAACAAACCC